TGGAGTAATGATGATGGAAATTCAGCTTTGCATCACAGAAATAAATTATATTTGAAAGGATATTCAAATAGAAACCATTATTTTATATTGTAATAACATTTTGCAAGATTACTGTATTTTTCTGTATTTTTGATCAAATAAATGCAGCCTTGATGAGCAGAAGAGACTTCTTTAAAAAACATTACAAGTCTTACTGAACCCAAACTTTTGAATGTTCAAAATATCGGTTATCGGTCTGGAATAATCGGTATCAGTATCGGCCCTGAAACACACATCGGTCGACCCCTAACACGTATGACATTATGTCAAGGTTAGACTTGTGTCCAGTGACAGAAGAAAATGCAAACGTGACCCAGGTGTTTTCTGCTTCTATTGCATCCAAACAGCCACAGAAAATCACCGACTTTGTGAAAAAGATTATTTATACTCTTCTATTTATGTAAAGTTATTTGACATTCAATGGTATTTGAACACATTTCCACTCTTCTGCAGCTTGCAAGTTAAATGATACATTTTGAAAACTTCTTTTTGTCATTAAAATCGAAACGTTTGTTATTTGGATAAATGCATTAGAGCTGATGCATATAAAAATATAATCTTAATTCTTATTTTACGAAAAAAGTGTATGTGATGGAAAATATTTATTGCTGTTTTTGAGCTCGGCATTAGATAATATTAGGCCTTTGTTGCAAATCAGCAGAATCTTTTCTCAAGATGCAAGGCTGTGTAATGCATACATAATCATACAATCCACATACACCCGAAAACAATAAGAGTGCACAAAATATGCAATATAAAATACAAAATGAATTTAAAAATGTGGATAAGCTCAAAGTGCAAATGTAACATTTCAACACTATTTAACAGAACAGTAATTGAAGAGACGCAATACAATATTTCAAGCTATTATAATCTATCCTTTAAGACTAGAATGATTGTTTTTGAAAGTCTGATTTGTGTTTTGATGTGAAGTGCATGAATATGCATTGAATAAATGAATGCAGAACACCAGTTTTTAATATGCATGAGTCATATGGATTAATCAATAAGTTGATTCCCCCAAAAAACACTATAAATCTATCAAGTCATATGATTTAAGTTCTTATGCATTAAGGGCATGAAAATGCAATGCATAAATGAATGCATAACATCAAATTTGAGCAATCTTGACTGTGCATGAGTCATATTAATTAATTAATAGACTGATTTCCAAAAAGCAACATAGATGTGTCATTAAGTCATTAGATTTTTGGTTTTATGCATGGAACAATACAAGTCGTTTTGCATTAAGTGCATGAAAATGCATTGCATTAATGAATACAGAACACCCATTTTTAATATGCATGAGTCATATGGATTAATTTATAAGCTGATTCCCAAAACACACCACAAATGTATCATTAAATCATGACAGAAACAAACTTTCAAATTTAAGTCGTTATGCATGAAAATGCATTGCATAAATGAATAAAATGCAAAGTGTGCAGGCATCACATTGGTTAATTTGCAAAAAACACTATAAATCTATCAAGTCATATGATTTGATGTTTTAACAAACTGAAATTGAATGAATTGTGCATTAAGTGCATGAAAATGCATTGCACAATTGAATGCATAACATCAAATTTGAATATGCATACAGAGTCATACAGATTAATTAATAGATTGATTCCCAAAAAAACACAATACAATATTTCAAGCTATTATAATCTATCCTTTAAGACTAGAATGATTGTTTTTGAAAGTCTGTGATTTGTGTTTTGCTGTGAACAGCAGATGAAGCATCCGCTGCAGTCGATCCGGGATGTCAGGAGTCTTCAGAGCAGCCTGATGAACCAGCGGCCAAAAAACACAAAACACACGAGTCAGTGACTTTCCATCTGTCTGTCTATGTCAGATTGATCTGTATGCTGCGAGTGTGTTTAAATGCGGTTTGTGTGTTTGTGCAGGTCAGAAGAGCCTGTGGAGACAGAATCAGCTCAAAGCGATGAATATAAGAGCCCGGATCCTGCAGGTAGGGAGGGTTTGAGGGCATATTCTCGGGTTTTTAGCATCTATCACATCTGTCAACTACTAAATAATTTGTCCCTCACTTTGTAAAAAAAAATGTAAAATGCAGTAATGCCATTACAATGGAGGAAGATTAAAACTGGAGGCTTTAAAAGCAGAAAGTTTTTTTGTTAAGGCACATCAATTTTAACACTAATTCTTCAGTAAAATTTTTATTTGACCTGAAAAATGGTCCTAAGCCGGTATGACAGCATTGTTTTAGTATTCTTTTTTTTAATTTTTTTTATTATATTTTACATTTTCATGTTAAAGTTATTTTATTATATTTATTGTATTTTATTTCAAGTAACGGAAATGTTTTTCTTATGGTTTTTAACTATAATAACTATAATATAATATATAAATATACATATATAATATATATATAAAATGTAACATTTTAATTTAGCCTGCATTTATTTGATCAGAAATACAGAAAAAGCAGTAATATTGTGAAATACTTTTACTATTTAAAATAACTG